TGTACTTCTGTTTCATGAGAAACTATTTGTTCTGTAAACCTTCACCTGAAGTACAATAATAAATAAATAAATAAATAAATAAACAGATGCAGGAGGTAAATAGCCACTTGCATACTTACAGCTGCTCCTAACATACTAATAGTGGTGATCCTAAATCAACATTCCCCAAAGTGTTTCCTAAAATATCAGTTTATGATATGGCTCCACCAAAAGAGTGTTGTGATTAAATAAGTTTGGATAATGCTACATATTGTCTTAGTTTCTTAAAGAGCCGCATGCACATAAGAGTACACAAAAGTCTTACGGTAACTAAATGCATTCAACCTTGTATAAATCAGTGTTCCCCAAGCTCATATAACCATGAAACATGGAACCTTTTATTTTCTTAATCTTCTGTTAACAACCCACCAAGGCCATGTTCTGGGGAATAAACTCTCAAGAAACACCACTCAAATTATCAAACAACCGTTGTGTTACATTCATATCCTGAGATACAGGGAGCAGGAAAATGTTTAGAAAAACAATGTCAATAAAATGGTTAATTTTTTTTTAAGTATTGATGCTTCCAATATGAGGAAATTCAGTTAGGTGGAACATTGTTTCCCCTAAATGATGAGGTGTTACTGAATTCTATATTTTGACTGTAAGATATATGTTCTCTAGTAGGGTATTTCATAAACAATGTCTGGTTTACTGTTGTATTGCAGCTTGGTCATGGAAATTCTAGTAAACAGTTGATAGATTAAACATAGGCTCTTAAAAAGGAACTCAAATGAGTAATTGAGTACTCACTGTGTTTTGTGCTGTAAGGAAATGAGGATAAAAGTTAAATGCATTTCTTTTTAAAGTTGCAGCCCACCTGTCCAATTTGTACAAGCAGTCTTTGGCTACAACTCCAAAATGTTCACCGGAATCATTTACTAAAGATTTCTTTGAAAAGAAATGGAGGTAAGCTGATCCAATAATATGTTCCAGTTAGTATTAAGCATCCCATGATTAGGGAATAGAGAGATGCAGTATCATGTGTATGGGTGACTATATCAACTTTCACAGCCCTTCATCTCCCATACTGTTAACCCTTTATCATACAGTGTTGCTTTTTCTTTTATTGTGTGTAAGCTGAAAGGGTTATCCCTTTTCCCCTTTTCATCATATTTTCCTTTCCTCTCACATAGGCATACAACAGCATCAAAGCGCTGGAAAGAAAAGATACAGCAAAAGAGGTAATTCTACCCTGAAGCGTACATAAGCGAGTGGAAAGGCCATTATTGTAAAGTCATAGAATCTGAGAGTGGGATAGGCTGGAAAGTCCTACCATCCAGGCTCCCAGCTGTTTATTTGAATCTCTTTCCCAACATTTCTGCCAAGTGGTCCTTCAGCTGCGGTGCGACCATGTCATTGTCTCTTGAGGAAGTCCATTTCACTGTTAGGTAGCTCCTCTCCCACTGCTAAGCAAGAAAGCGCTCAAGGTACTCTGTGCTTTTGTCATTCTAACAGACCAATAATGTAGAATATAGTCAGAAGCATGCAAGGATTCTTATAATTCACATGAGAAATGTGCTCTAAACGTTATCCAGTTTGGTTTCCTTTCAGTCCTTGCTGAGGATTCCAGCCCCAGCTCGCTCACCATAAAAAAGGAAGCCAGATATATATGTTGAATATATAGGAGTACATATGGTACTATTGTACATATTTCCATAGCTCTTCTCCAGAATGTCTCCCAGGATGACTATGCTTCTTAATAAAAATGTCAAGGTTACCTTGTGGAATGTGTTGGAGAAGTGGTGAGAAAAGACCTTAACTCTCATGGGCCACTCCCTATATACAAGGTCAATAAGAAGATATACACTGTCTCATAGAATATCTCTGAAAGAGTCTCCAAAAGACTGATGTCAGTGATTGCCTTTGGGGAAGGAGACTGAGGGATTGGGGACAATGTGGAATGGAGACTTCCTTTTTATTATGTACTCTTTAATACTTTTTGAGTTTTTACATGTTCGTGTGTTACGTATTCAAATTCTTAAAAATTTGGAAACATTAACAATTTCAAATTTTAACCTATAGGCAACGACAAGCCATTGAAATTTTTTAAAGAAGAAAAGTGAAACACATAATTAGATCTATGTTATAGAAAGAGAAATGTAAGGCTGCATGGAAAATAGATTAGGGAGGAGGGTTAAGGAAGGAGAAGATTTCAAGAAAATATGGAAGGTGATCGATAAATGTCAGATGCTGTGGAAGAATCAGGAAGGAGAATGAAAAGAGAAATTTGGAATTTGGGGTTTATCAATTAGAATCTTTGTTGTTTTTGTTTTGTTTTTGCTAAAACAGTTTTAGAAGAGTGTTGGGCAATAGCCAGACTGCCGTAGATTGATGAGTGAATCCAGTAAGGCAGTAGAGATAAGACATTTTTAATGGTAAATTCAAGTTGTTTGAAGATGATATTTTGATTCAACCAGTATTTCCAAAGAGGCCATGTGTATAATAAAAACAGCACTGGTCTTAGAGACAGCAGACCTAGAGTCAGTTCCAGTTTGATTATTTACTGAGTGTATGATGCTGGCTGGTTATTTTTATTTTATTTTTTTAAGGGTAATGTGCATTGATCAAAGTAGCTTTATTCCAGGCTGGCTAGTTATTTTACTTTAGCAAAATTTACTTCAAGAATTCAATTTGCTTTGACAACAGCAACTCAAAAGGTTTGATGGGAAGCCTAGGGGACAGTGAGTTGAAGATAATGGTGATGGAATAATTTGGAAAAGGACAGTGAGAATAGCAGCACAACTGGAAGAGTAGAATCGATGTCACTGAATTGTACATGTAGAAACTTTCAAAATTGTGTAACTTTGGCTATGTATATTTTCCCCCCAAAAAAACGTCCTCAAGGTTGAGAATGGAGAGTGTTGACATGTTGTGGGGTTGTTAACCAATATCATAAAACAGTATGTGTACTGACTGTTTAATGAGAAACTATTTGTTTTGTAAACCTTCATCTAAAGTACAATTAAAAAAAAATAAAAATAAAAAAAAAGAATTCAGTTTGCTATTGGCCCCATCTCGTCCAGAGCAAAGGAGAATGAAGAAAACCAAAGACACAAGGAAAATATTAGTCCAAAGGACTATTGGACCACATAAACCACAGCCTCCACCAGCCTGAGCCCCGGTACCCAGCTACTACCTCTGAACGCTCTGACAGGGATCACAATAGAGGGGCTCAGACAGAGCGGGAGAAAAATGTAGAACAAAATTAAAATTCACAAAAAAAAAGACCAGACAGAGACTGGAGGAACCCCCGAGACTATGGCCCATGGACACCCTGCTAACTCAGAACTGAAGCCACTCCTGAAGTCCACCTTTCAGCCAAAGATTAGACAGGGCTGTAAAACAAACAATAACACATGTGAGGAACGTGCTTCTTAGTTCGATCAAGTATAAGACCAAATGGGCAACACCTGCCAAGAAGCAAAGATGAGAAGGCAGGAAGGACAGGAAAACTGGAAAAATGGACATGGGAAGCCCAAGGTGTAAAGGGAAAGAGAGAGAGAGTGCTGACACATTGCAGGGATTGCAACCAATGTCACAAAGCAATTTGTGTATAAATTTTTGAATGAAAAACTAATTTGCACTGTAAACTTTCACCTAAAGCATAATAATTTTTTTTAAAAAATTCAATTTGCTTTACTATAACATGAGGGTAATTAGACCACCCAATATCTTGGGTCTCTTTCAGCTCTCACACTGGGTGACTGATGGCTGACTAGCATGTGCAGTTATCAAGATCATGAACTTGGAGTCAGACAGCCTCGGTTTTAGTCTAGACTCCAACCCTTATGAACTATATGGTTTTGGGTAGGTTATTTAACCTCCTAAGCCTTGATTTTTTGACCAGTAAAATGGAGATAATAATAGTACCTCATAGGGTTATTGTAAGATAAATATAAAACACTTTGCAAAGTTCCTGGCAGGCAATAAGCACTTAAAGATTGGAATTATTCGAGTTAGGATTAGGCTCACCTGCATTTAATAGAAAACTCAAAACCAGTGTCTTTAAAAGGAAGGGGGTTTATTTTCCCTAATGTAAAAAGTCAGAAGTGGGCAGTCCAAGGTAGGCAGCTCCACAACCTCATTAAGGACTCAGACTCCTTCTTGTTGTTTGTTCCATCATTGTTAGCACAGGACTTCCATCCTCAAGGTTGCTTCATGGTTGCAAAATGACTGACCCTTTTACATCCTCTTTTCAGGAAGTAGGAAAAGAGATGAGGCAAGGACAAAGGGGATGTCTCCCAGCCAAGTCAACCCTCTTTAAAAGCTTTCCTGGAGTCTCATCTAATGACTTCAGTTTACATCTTATTGGTCATTCCTATATACAAGGGATAGTGGGAAGTGTAGTTTTTAGCTCAGTATATGCCTCTCTAATATAGGCGCTCTGGTATTGGAAAGACAAACAGCAGGATTATCATGATTGCTTTTATTATACCCTGTGACCACTGACCTCATTACCCATAAACTATTCCTCAGTTTTTGTTTTTAATAACCACTGCTACTGAAATTGTGGAAACCGGTAGATTTTAGCTAGCACTTAAACCTCAGAGAAAATTGAAAGGCATGCAGAAAGGCGAACCATTATAGAGCTATGTGGGTTTTAGCTATTTGAGATCAACTGTAAAACCAAACACTCAGTATCATTATTTCCTATCTTATATGAGAATGATTCTGAAGTAGGAAAATGTGACTGATTCTAAAAGAAGTAGAAAATGAACCAAAACAAGTTGGCCAAAATGTCTGATTAGTTGATTCTTATCAGTTTTACTGCTGGTGATCCCATTGATTTTCTGTGGGACTTTGAGCTAAAATACAAGCAAATAACATTTTAAATCTTTCTGTTTTCTTTTGCATTATTGTGGAAATATCAATCAGGGATGATATTGAAAAAACAAAAAATTATCTAAAGGAAATCAGGAACAAAACAGTACCACACTACTTCAAATCTGAATTGAGCATGTTATATCAGTCTCAGGTAATTGAATGTAATCAACTATAATTGAATTAGAGTTTTTATAAAAATTGATGCAAAGCATATACTATTATGTAATCTACCTTTCCTAATATTGTTTAATTCTTTCCTGCATCTGCCCGACTGACTAACCCAACCAATTGCTGTCAAGAGTCAATCCTGATTCGTGGCCACCCGATGTGTGTCTGAGTAAAACTGTGCTCCACAGGGTTTTCAGTGACTGACTTTTCAGAAGTAGGTCACCAGGCCTTTCTTCTGAGGCGCCTCTGGGTGGACTTGAACTTCCAACCTTTCAGCTAGCAGCCAAGCATGCTAATCATTTACACCACCCAGGGACTCTGACTAACTAACCAGTACCCTTCAGATCCACCTCCTGGCAAGCATTTAAAAGGGAAAACAAATTTCAGGTCTTGCACTAAAAAGTAGAAATTCTCCATCGATGTTGTACTACCACTCCTTCCCTTCCACCTTGCCTTGTCACCATTAATTACCCTCTCTCGTCTATTTTAAGATTTGTTTTTTGGTCAAGTCCTTTCTATCTCTGAATCTCCTCTGTTAAACCCATCTTGTAGTTTTCAGTCCGTTAAGATTCCGTCTCCCGTCAGCTGCTGAGCTAGCACTGTGACACTGTTAGTTCTTGAAAGTCCACAGAGGCAGCACACTGCACTCCCCTTCCATGTGAGGCTACAAGTGGGACCACAGGAAACCCGGCCTTCATCTTGCTGGCTGGGAGTTCACTGAAACCCTGAGCCAAGTGAATATTTTCATGTGTTCACAACTCCTTGTGTTTCTATAAAAATCCGGATGCTGTTATTAATCAGAGACTGCCTGAAAAGAAATTACAGTAAATTGTGAACGTATAATAAATCGAAAAACTTTTAGTTTGCAAACTTTATTTTGAGGGGCTATAAAAATACGCTTTGATCATTACTCATCAACTTAACATGATTGTGGCAGTTGCTTTTCAGCCGTGTGTAAGTCTGAACTATCTTCTGTTCTTTTTCTTTAAGTTTAATTATCTGGAGAGCCTTTCCAAAAAACTGCCTCCTTTGACAGAGAAAGATGAGGATGCAAACAAAACATGTGTTCAAAATACATCTAATCACTCTCCAGGTAAAACATTAGTATAGCTCTTATTCCTGTTATATGTACTTAATAGAATAATATCTAACAATGTTCTGTTAGAGCATAATTAGTTCCTACTACCTTTTGTCTCAGTATTAGTTAATGACACAACGTACTATGAAGATTTGGGCGAATTATGTAAGGAAACCAATCTGTAAATAAAATTTAGCTTTATTTCCCCCTGTATGCTTAAAATTTACCTAAAAACATTCAGAAGACCTGACTAATTTAAATATCAGGGGAGTAATAAAAGGCTGTGGATAACCATATGTTACTAATTAAAAAAAGGAAAATGTACCTTTACAATGGAAAAATATGGCGATCTCCATCTTAACCAAGTGATCAACCACATAACATTATGCGCTTTCTCATGCAACGCAATACGCAGTACGTATTACCTATGAAGAATTTTTGCCAAAAATCTTTAACCTGAATCTAATCAAAAGGAAACAATCAGAAAAAATCTGAAGGTAGACATTCTATAAGGAGCCGTAGTAGCACAGTGGTTAAGTGCTTGGCTGCTAACCTAAAGGTCAGCAGTTCGAATCCACCAGCCATTCCACGGGAGAAAGATGTGCAATCTGCTTTTGTAAAGATTACAGCCTTGGAAACCCTATGGGGCAGTTCTACTCTCTCCTATAGAATCAATATGAGTTGTAATCGACTTGACAGCAATGGGTAGACATTCTATAAGACAACTGACCTGAACTCTTCGGAAAAGTTAATGTCATTAAAACAAAAAAAAAATAGGTTGATTGTTCTAGATTGAGAAATTAAAGAGACATAAAAATTAAATGTAATATGTAAACCTTGATTGGATCCTATATTGAGGGAAAAAACAGCTATAAAAGGTATTTTAGAGAAATTTCAGAAATCTGATTATAAAATCCATTGCCATCGAGTAGATTCCGATTCATAGTGACCCTATAGGACAGAGTAGAACTGCCCCATAGGGTTTCCAAGGAGCACCTGGTGGATTTGGACTGCTGACCTTTTGGTTAGCAGTTGTAGCACTTAACCACTATGCAACCAGGTTTCCAAAGTCTGATTAAGGGACTATATATTAGAGGATACTGTGGAATTGTTTATTACCTTGGGTGTAATAATGGTGTTGTGGGTATGCAGGAGAATACCTTCATTCTCAGGAGGTGTAGGCTGAAAAATTGAGGGATGAAATTAAATTTAATGCTTCTCTTTAACATAAAAAATCCATTTCCACTGAGTTGATTCTGACTCATAGTGACCCTATAGGACAGAGTAGAACTGCCTGATAGGGTTTCCAGTGAGCAGCTGGTAGATTCCAACTGCCACCCTTTTGGATAACAGCCGAACACTTGACCACTGAGCCATCATATTAAGTAGTAAAAATAGCCAGGTAGGGGAACTTTCTACTGGATTAAAGTCCAGCTGCTTGTAATGAGCACAGTCAAAGAAGACATCTAATTCTAGGAAATTAAGACAAAGTTTGCAAACCAAAGATTAAGGATGAAACAATGACTTGTAAATATGGTGGGGGAACATCAGAGATCACAAATTGATGATCCTGGTGCTACCACTCAGACTCTCTGCACCCACGACGAGCCTTCATCAATCAGCCTACTTTCCCCTTGAAATGGGGCAAGGCTGCAGAGACTTTCTCAGCATAGTACTCTAGGCAGCCACTACCATTCAACCAGACTTGGCACACAAGTTGAAATGCATTTGCTTCCCCACTCCTAACATACATTTCCTATTGCACAGATTTCTTAACGAAATTCATGTTAATAAAGAGACACACTTTCATAGTAATGAATGGACTTAAGGTGGGAAACATATTTAATCCCATCTCACTTACCTTTGCCAGATAAAAGTATAGTCAAATTCCGTGACCTATGCTTCATACGGAGTCCTGGTGATGCAGTGGTTAAGAGCTTGGCTGCTAACCAAAAGGTTGGCTGTTAGAATCTACCAGCTGCTCCTTGGAAACCCTCTGGGGCAGTTCAGCTCTGTCCTATAGGGTCACTATGAGTCGGAATTGACTCTAAGGCATGGGTTTCTGTTTTTTGTTTTTGTTTTTTATGCTTCATACACATAGTGAAGGTGAACAACTTCATACACAAGGTGAACAACGCTACTATGTGGTCAGAATGCCCAGAAAGAGCTAAGCAGCATCTAGGGAGTACGAGATTTGCAGATATTGTCCAGTTTGTTACAGCAAACATTGCATCATATAATGAAGAATCTGTACCTCTTAATGGCTTTCTTACTTTTAGTTTTCTATAGATGGCAGGGAAAAGCACTTTGTTCATTGTAAGGAATAGTACAAGTGTTGGTAGTCATTGTGTCATTGTTCAAAACATCACTTTATAATACTTGTTTTGGGTTTTCTAGATTCTGGGCCACATAAAGCTTCAGAACAGGAATCCTTAGACACGCTTAATCCTCCAAAATCAGAGAGTCCTGTGGCTATTTATGAATCCACTAGCCAGAACCAACCTGAAAATTTAACAAAATCTACCAAAGGTATGGCAGTCATTTGCTTTATCTTATTGCTTCTCAAAACTGAACATTATGTCTTTTAGGAGTGTGGGAGATGGCAATGGGGGCTATGGGTGTGGCTCACAGTGATGGGAAAAATTCAAATGGGTCATGGAGCCTAGAGCTGTGGAGCTTTGCAAGGCTTCTTAGCATATCAGAGTATTTCAAAAACTGTTCTGAGAATGACTTCAAGTCCTAGGCTGAAGGAAGGAAATTACAAAGGCTTTTTTTAGACTTGTTATTTTGCTTTGCTTTATTTTATTTTATCCCTTGTGATTCTGAGAGCTTGTGCTATTTACTGAAGGTTAGGAACCTGGTAGCTTTTCTTAAGAAGCCAATAATTTGATAGTTGGACTTAGGTTTATCTATTTTTCCAGTACTTTCTTTGTCCTGCAGGTGGTAGAAGAGAAACATAAGATATGGTCTCTGTCTTAGACAGCATATAATCTTATTAGGGTGACAGAAACTGAAATATGGAATAATATAGAATAATGTCTAGTTACAATGCAGTCTTGCAAAGGATGAGAATTCCAGACCACTTAATTGTGCTCATGCAGAACCTGTACATAGATCAAGGCAGTCATTCGAACAGATGAAGGGGATACTCTGTGGTTTAAAATAAAAAAAAAAGACGTGCATCAGGCTTGTATCCTTTCACCATACTTATTCAATCTGTATGCTGAGCAAATAATCTTAGAAGCTGGACTATATGAAGAAGAACATGACATCAGGATTGGAGAAACACTCGTTTCATTAACAACCTGTGATATGCAGATAATACAACCTTGCTTGCTGAAAGCGAAGAGGACTTGAAACACTGATGAAGATCAAAGACTACAGCCTTCATTATGGATTACACCACAACATGAAGAAGAAAAAAAAAATCCTTTGCAACTGGACCAGTAAACAACATCATGATAAATGGAGTAAATATTGAAGTTGTCAAGGATTTCATTTTACTTGGATCCACAGTCAACACTCATGGAAGCAGCAGTCAAGAAATCAAGCAAAGTATTGCACTGGGAAAATCTGCTGCCAAAGACCTCTTTAAAGTGTTAAAAAGTAAAGATATCACTTTGAGGTCTAAGATGTACTTGAGCCAGATGTGCCAAGTACAGCCAGAATGCTCCTTAGAAGTGAGGATGGCAAGACTTCGTCTCATGTACTTTGAACATGTTATCAGGAGGAACCAATCCCTGGAGAAGGACATAATGCTTGAGAAAATAGGGTGTCAGTGAAAAAGAGGAAGACCCTCAATAAGATGGACTGACACAGTGGCTGCAGCAATGGACTTAAACATGGCAACAATTGTGAGGATGGCGCCCACCAGGCAATGTTTCGTTCTATCGTACATAGGGTCGCTATGAGTTAGAACCGCCTTGGCAGTACCTAACCGCAACACAATAGGGTAACATTACACTCATTTCACTTAAGGTAATTCAACTAAATATTCTTAATTAGGGGAAAAAAAAAAGGCTGAATAATTTAAATTAAGTAGATAAAGGGATTGTAACTGGAGGGTAAAGTGTGATCAAGGGAGAGATGTTTTAAAGATTAGACATACTAGAGCATGTTGATTTGAAAATGGTAATAATTCAGTAGCAAGAGAAAATGATGCAAGAGAAAGAGAGGCATAATTTTTAGAGCAAAGTCCTTAAGCAGGTAGGAGAGCATGACATCTGGGACACTCTGAGTGGAGGAGTTGACCAGGAGAGAAGAGAGAGAATAGGAATACATCTGCAGATGGGTTGATATGTTTGATATTGGGAAGATGAGGGAGTTCCTGTCTGGTTGCAAAGAAGTGAATATAATGATGGAATATAAAAACCATTCCTGATAAACAGAGAAGTCAAACCAAGAAGGGAGTGACTGATTGTGTAAAGGTGATAGTGTCAGTTGATTAAAGGTCTCCCAGGTCAAATAATTTACTTGCTGGATATGATAAAGTGATAAACTAGAAGAATAAAAAGTGGTGATCAGAGAGAGGGAAGTTTGAAACCGAGGTTTTGAAAGCAGTAAAATTATTGGTGTTGGCAAGTTCAGAGAAATGACCATGGGAGTTTCTGAGATGGAGACGAGGAAAAGATGAAGAAACAGAGTGGTAAAGAATCAAAGAGGACAGGAAGTTGGGTGGATCATCCAATGATGTTACCAAGAAAGATGAACTGAAGATGCTCCAGGTTTTAAAATCTCCAGTAAATGAAGGGAATGTTAGAGAAGTCACTAAGTGACAACTACTTGAAAAAGCAGTAAGTAATACAGTCTGATGGCATGAGCTTCAAAGGAACTAGGATTTTTGAAGGAAGAATAAGAAATTGTTTTGAAGCAAGAGGGACACCTACTGCACCCTTGGGCACTGAGGTACTTAAGAGAAAATAATGTGACTACATTACAAATGGTAAATTAAATTTTCATATAAATAGTAAAGTTTAAGGAAGTTCAGAGTAGGAAGAGATTAACCCAAGCAGTGAGGAAAGATTTATGGGAAAAATGGTCTTGAAGATTAAGTAGAATTTCCTAGAATTTAGAATGTAAAAGCTTGGATTGCCTAAGACGGCCCTCATTTTCCTTGAGGAATCTGAAACTCAGCAGACATGAAGAGACTCATCTAAAGTCATACAGCAAATTTGTGACTGAGCCAGGGCTAGAAAATGGGTTTTTTTAACTCCTAATTCTCTTAACTCCTACATTGCAGATGAAGGGAACAGACAAGAATATTTTATTCCCTCCATCTTCCAAAAAAAAAAAAAAAAAAGAGTATGCTCAAAGACTTAAAGATAGAAAAGAAACCAGACTAAATCAGAGATATTCATTTGGTAATAGTAGAAGATAATGTTTGGAAAATGCAATAGGCTCAGCTAGGGAAGGTTTGGATTTTGCAGAATAAAAATGTGTCTTTATCATTGTTTGCTGTGATAATACTGGATAAAAAACAACCCTCAAATCCTGCAGTGGCTCATAACAACCAGCTACGACCTGGGCCTTGATTGCAGCAGCTCTGCTCCAGGCTGCAGGCAGGAGTTGGCTCCCTGGTTCCAGAGAGCTGATTGTACTGATGCTTCCCAACTCCACATTCAGTGACATCACGTTGATAGCTTAAATAGGCCATGGTGGGAAATCAGCCAGTGCCACAAATAAGCAAATTTTATAAACCAGATTGGTTTTTCCCCTAGAGTCCCCATTGTAAAACAGTGGCCAGCATTGACCAGGTAAAGTTCAGGTATATCCCAAGGATCCCAGACTAAAGGAGCAGCCACCATCTGGGGTAAGCAGTTCTTACGGTAGAGGATCAAAGCTCAAGAAAGGCAAGCAAAATCACATGCTGCCCTGACAGCCTCTGCTCAGAACTGGCACACTGGCACTTCCGCACACATTGGTCAAAGCAAGTCCTATGGCCAAGCTCAAAGTCAATGGGGCAGAGAAATATACTCCACCTACTTAGAAGCCATGCTGAAAGAGGAAGTAAGTAGTTATGAATAAATAAAGCCTACTTAAGCATGGTAACACGAAATTATTACATATTCTTCAGTTAGGTCATGCCCAGTAGGAATATTCAGATGATATGCACTAGTATGAACATGTTGTTGTTATTGTTATTGTGTGCCTTTGAGTCAATTCCAACTCATCAAGACTGTATATGGCAGAGTAGAACTTCTCCCATAGGGTTTTCTAAACTGTAATGTTTGCAGAAGCAGATCTCCAGGTCTTTTCTCTCGAGGTGGGTTCGAACTCACAACCTTTTGGTTAAAAGCTGAGCACTAAACCATTGCAGCACCAGGGTTTCATAGCAGGACCATACTATGTTAAAGATTAAACTTACTCTGTACCAGTTGGTACAGTGGACCAGCCACTGCTTCATGTACCTGAAGTTCCCCCTTGCCATTACCCCCATCCCTAGTGAAGCCCTGGGTGGCCTCAGTGGGATAATAATCTGTCTGCATCATTGGAGGCAGTGTTGTATAGTGCAGAGCTAAGAGAATAGGCTCTCCCTGGTTCAAATCCTGGCTCCTGTATAGCTGCTGTATAACGTAGGGCATGTTATTTAACCCCTCAATCTCTTCTTGTTTCCTCTTCTGTGAAAGGGAAATAATGGTACATGTATCACAGGATTGTTGTGAAAATTAAATTCATTAATAAATTGAAAAATGCTTAGAGCAGGGCCTGGCACATGATAAGACACATATCATTATAATACTTTACTTTGTCTTCTCAAGATACGCTTTGAAAATTTTCTGGTCAGCTGTTTTACTTCATCATTTCTTCCATTCACTTTAGCTACTCCACATTCAAGAGCAAGTTTCAGAGTCTCTTCTGATATCCACTTTGGTCTTTTCTTTCTTTCCTATCTTTTTAATGACCTTTTGCTTTCTTCATGTGTAGTGTCCTTGATGTCATCCCACAACTCGTCTAGTCTCTAAATTCAGGTGGGATATACTCAAGGTCATACTTTGGCTTTCGTGGGCTCATTTTAATTTTCTTCAGCTTCAACTTGAACTTGCATATAAGCAATTGATGGTCTGTTCTGCAGTTGGCCCCTGGCCTTGTTCTGACTGATGATATTGTACTTCTCCATCGTCTCTTTCCACAGCTATAGTTGATTTGATTCCTGTGTTTTTGCAATGAAGCAGTCATCGGTCTTGCAAAATTCTATCATTTGATCTCTGGTGTCATTTCTGCCACCATGACCATATTTTCCAACTACTACTCCTTTGTTTCCCACTTTTCATTCCTATCACTAGTAATTATCAATACATCTTAACTGCATGTTTGACAATTTCAGATGCAGAAGTTGGTAAAAATCTTCAATTTCTTCAGTTTTGGCTATAGTGCTTGGTGTGTAAATTTGACTAATAGTCTATTAGCTGGTCTTGTAGGCATATGGATATTATCCTATCACTGACACCTAGTTGACTGGTAAAAGGCGTTTAAAGAAAACAGCAATACACATATTATAAGAGTACATACAAAAAGATACATCAAACCATTGGAATGGTTGCCTAAGTAGGGAATGGTGATCAAAGGGGACAAATAAATTAAAGCACAGATTATTGGGCTTCACTCCCAGAGATTCTGACTCAGTTTTGATTTGGAATAGGGCCTAGTCTGGCATGTGACCTGTGAATCCTTATTTGTCCAAAAGCAACCCAGCGGATTATGATGCACAGGTGGGTTCAGACCCATTGGGTAATAAAGGAGTATGTTATTGTGGAGTCAGACACTTGGGTTCACATTCCAGCCCTGCCATTCATTACAGTTTCTTGGGCAAGTTGTTTAATTGCTCTGAACTTCCATTTCCTCATTTGTAAAAAGGAGACAATGCTACTTTACTGGTCAGGACTCTGTCTGTTGTAACTGATAGAACTCAAACTCAATTGAAGCAAAAAAAAAAAAAAAGAGAGGGGGGTGATTTCTCAAAATCAAACTACAGAAACAGTGGCTATGGTGCTAGCCAGGACTGATTGACTTCTGGCACTCGAGCCTCCTCAGGAGTGTCTTTGTGTCTGAATGCCTGTCTCTCTACACCTTCCCCGCCTCCATCTTGCTCTCCTTTCTTGTCCCTGCTTCGTTTTATCCTCTCCTACAAAGGACAGGCTGTTTCCATGTGACCGGGGCTTTAACCATAGAGGCTCAAGATTCCAATCCTCCAGCTCCATAACCCAGTAGGCAAGAGTGAGTCATCCCTGTCAGCTTTGGCTTTGTTTGGGCCATGTACCATCCTGGTGGTTTGGACCAGGGATGTTCTGGTACCAGAAGTGTATATGATAGGCAGGGTTGGATTACCAAATAAGCAAGGTATGCACGGGCCCAATTGTGCTTTCCCACCAATCTGCAGTCTCCCACCACATCAAAGATGTGGTGAAACCCATGTGAAATTGCTCACCACAGATTAACAAGTAAATACAATTAATCTTGTGTGTACCTTGCTCAATGCCAGCCAGTGTATACCTTGCTTACTGGTTAATCCACCCCTGATAAGTAGTGTGGAGGTGAAGGATGGGGAGAGTGCCGAGCATAGGTTATAGTCATCATAACCCCCTAGCTCAGAAAGTTGTATGAGAATGAAGTAAAACTCTATATTTATAAACCTACATGCGGTGCTCCCCTGCAGATAGTGGATGCTCATATATGGGTCCCATTCCCTTTCTTCTCTTGATGATTTGAATACAAGAAAGAATATCTATATATGATGATCTAAAACATAATTCTTATTTTAACCCCCTGTATATTTGGAATAAATATACACAGCTGCAGCTACATAGATTATCTACTCTTGCTTACTCACACAATTGAGGAAAAGAAAAATTACCAAATTTAGTGATCTGAGGATTTAATTCCTAGGTTCCATTTATCTATAACCACTATATCACTTTTTGAACTATGAATATAGCAGTAGAATCAAAGAAATTCTTAAAAGTTTGCACTCACTATTTTAAAGAAATCTTTAATAGTCAATGTTTTATTGTATTGTTCTTGTTGATTTAATGAAAAGAACCCTAAAGACACAGATTTAAGTTTAGTTCATCATAGACAAATCATTTAACTTATTTTTCTCATTTATTTAAAAAAAGATGATGCTAATAGCATCTGCCCTGCCCATCACATTAGGGTTTCTGTGAAAATTAATATTAGTTAATGTATGTAAAATTGCCTTGTAAAATGTAAATATATAAAACTAGAATTAATAAAAGCCTTTGTTGCTTTAAATAAGCTCTTTAAATAAATTTAAAAAAGCTTCCCTAGTTGGTTTATGTTCTTATATACTCTGGTATTTCTGTTATTACCTCAAATGCCTTAGAATAAAATATCTTTATGGCATAATTTAAATTTTCTCTCTAACAGAACCAGAAGGTTATGTGCCTGTGAAAATTCCAACCCAGTCATTGCTGCAAGATGTTGTGGGACAAGCAAGGAAAAATAAAGTGAAGTTGCCTCGTTATTTACTGAGCTCCAAGCCCAAATCTCAACCTCTCCCAAAGGTAAAACAGACATGGGAACAAAGTTCTCAGAGCCCATCAACATTTTGTGTAATCCTGACTCATTGAAGTTGTTTATTTCCAGCTACTGGGTACTGCTATTCACTGTGCCTACCATCTCAGCTTGAAGGCCTTTAAGTCACACAGAGATAAGCTAAAGGTGTCCTAGAGCCAGTTCATACAGGCCCATGAAAGAAATTTTATGAGCCAGTTGTTAAAGCATTGGTAGCTTAACATCAGCCATGCTGGGAGTACTTACACCAAAGAAATTGGCAGACACTACAAATCAAGGTTCTTCTTTTCAGAGAGCCAGTTTACCAGCACACTATCTGGTCGAGGGCTCATTGGCCACCCTTTTCATAACTCTTAGGATAAAATCCAAATGACTACAAGGCTCGTATAACATGGCCCCTTTTGCTTGTCCACCCTCACCTAGCCCAATACTTACTGTACTACAGCCATCATGGATTTCTCTTAGTTCTTCAAAAGCACCAAGCTCCTTCCTTCCTTCCTTAGAGCCTTTAAGAGTAAGATTCTGTCTCAGCTCTGTTAGGAAACCTTCCATGAGCCCACCAGTTAAATTTTAATGCTTATTCTTTGATACTTCCATGGCACACAGTGTCCATTGCCATCATAGCTTTATTGCAGTGTATATAGCTGATATGTGATAGAAGTGCTTCTCAAACTAATGTGCATATGGATTATCTGGGGATCTTGTTAAAATATGGATTTTGGTTCAATAGGTCTGGGGTTGGGCCTAAGATTCTGCATTTCTAACAAATTTCCAGGTGACACCAGTGCAGCTGATCTGGGGAATAACAAGGGCATAGAGCAGTTGTTCTTGAAGTGTAATTACCTGGCCAGCAACAGCTGCACCACCACCTTAGAACTTCTTATAAATACAAATTATATGGCCCTAGCCCAGACCTAATGTATGAGAAACTCTGGGATGGGGCCCAGCAATCTGTGTTTTAACAAGCCCTCCAGGTGATCCTGATGAGAGTTAAAGCTTGATAACCACTGGCACAGAGGAAAGAGCACAGACTTTAGAATCAGGAAAACTTGAGTTTGAAGCTTTACTCTGACACCACTTGAGCAAATTATCTGCCCTTCAATTCTCTGAACTTGAGCTTTTGTATCCTTCAAACAAAGCCTAAAATACTCTCCTTACAAGATGTTGTAAGGATTATGTGAGACCATAAATGTTCATTCCCTCCCGCAACCAGGCAGTTATTTTCCTTTGATGAGATGGACTTTTACATTTCTTGGGAACTCAAAGTAGAACCATTTTATTTTATTAATTCTCCTTAATGCAAAGGTGCACGATTCTGTTGGAGGAAAAGTGAACACATCCTCTGTTGCATCTGCTGCCATTCATAATGTAAATTCATCCCCTTTTGGATTCCATCTCCTCCCATCATCAGTAAACTTTGGAGTTCTTAAGGAAGGACACACCTATTCAACCATCGTAAAGCTCAAGAATGTTGGAGTGGACTTCTGCAGGTGAGGCCAAGGCCCCAAAAGTCTGCTCAGGTTACCTTCCCCTACTCTTCGTTGTCTTTGGCTGCCTAAATCAGCGAATGTTTATTGAACTGAATTGTAATCATGCCTTAAATCTTAAATCTTCACACTATTCAGTCATTTACTCACTAATCTATCCATTAATTCATTCATTCTTCAACAAATTGGTATTTATCAAACCCCAACTATGTGGTAGTTACTTCTTTGCCCTCCCATTAATCATTGTTCATACTTCGGTAGAAGCAACCCACGGCCTGATCTGCACTAGCAAAAAATGAAGGGGAAGTAAAGGGGAAGTTGTCCAAGTGTTATAATAACTAAAGCACAAAACTTGAAAGTCTGTTTCTCAAATCTATTACCCACTATAATAGTGCTAGCTGACATTCATTTGCACTTTATGATCTCAAAAGTGCTTTTAATTACATTTTTTCTGCATAATTGAGGCAGAGTCATTAAGATCAGTTTAGCTATGAAGATGAACATGTTATCAGGAGGGACCAGTCCCCAGGGAAGGACATCATGCTTGGTAAAATAGAGGATCAGCAAAAAAGAGGAAGACCCTCATCAAGATGGACTGACACCATGGCTGCAACAATGGGCTCAAACATAGGAACGATTGTGAGGATGGAGCAGGATTGACTGGGCTGTGTTTCATTCTGTTGTACATAGGGTCACTATGAGTCGGAACCTAACAACATAACAACAAAGCTATGAAGATCTGACTTAGAAATAATCACAAATACCCACGCTCACAGTCCATACTCTCAGTTGAAAATATACTATATCTGGCATTCAATAACAAGAAAAAATAGTCAATCCCTCATTTCTAGATCAAGATCAATAGAATTTTAGAACTCTCAGAGACCTTAGAGACTTTTACAGAGGGAGAAATTGAATAATTTGTTTTAAGTTCTTGTAGAGGCCAGAGCGAGGCTAGATATAAGGTCTCAGAAGCACCAGTTCATTGCTGTCGCCACCACACGGAGGTGCCTCTCTTTATTATCACAAGTGTGGTCACCAGTTTTGTGTGGGATTTCAGTCCTTTCCCTCGGATCAATCTTACCTTGTATCTGTAACCAAGACCGTTCCCAATTACAATATCTCCCCCTGTCCTATTTTGAATTAAACCTTAAGCATAATGTAGGATTTTGTTTTGTTTTTGTCATAAAAAATGGAATAAGTGTTTATTTCAGCTGCAGAGTTATTCTCAGTGTAAGTGGCACATTCTTCAAGATTTTGATTGTGGATTCAGAATTGAAAATTAAATGGAGCGAAACTATGGGTGCATCCAATTTAAAAGATCACTGCTCCATTTCAGGAGGCAAACCCCCAGCTTTAGGAATAATGTTTGCTTTCTCAGAAACAGGCCTGATGAAGGACTTAGGCCACTAGATCAGACATTGTTGATTTTTCAGGTTGTTGCCAACAAAGTGGGTGGGAGAAATAGACAGTCAATCTCACACCAATAAAACCCATCCATGCAGATCCTGTCTACCCAGTACAGGTTAGTTTTAGAGATTTCTCTCCACAGTGTGTTAAATTCAGTCACTACAGGGCAGAACAGCAAAGTTCATGGCAGAGGGAGTGGGGCTGAGGGTCAGAGTGGAGATGGGCTTTCCTTGGCATTTTAATTCACTCCAGGTCTTTAACCTTCAGGCAGAACCCACAAACCACAGGAAAGGAAAGAGATCAATAGGCACCATGTGTGAGCGTTGAGCTTTTCAAGTTCTTCAACTATTTTCTGAGCCCTTCCTGTTTCTCCTCTCTCCAAACATGCAAACCCCATACCAAGACAGAGCAAGACTGGCTCCCATGCTCCACTGCTTTCCAAAGAAGCCTTTATTCTTCAGCTTAATGATCTGGCAGCCAACAGTTGCTTTCACGCTGACTGCTATGCTGAAATGCATACACCAGCCAAACGCTCAAAACACTCTTCCCAGGCCCAAGCCATTCATCAGCAGTCAATAACAAAGCATCGAGACTCACACTGGAGTCAGTTTTACTCTGATGAAAACTGTTGAAAAGGCAGTTGTGAAATGGGCCCAAGATTCTTTTCCCAATTGAATAGTAAGCTGTTTTTTTTCATAATGGTATGGACCTCCTGCTCCTGTATAGCGAATATTAACACCTTTCTGATCTTATAGCATCCCAATTCCTTCACTGCTCATGTTTTTCATTACGGCATTAATTTATTTACATCTTTTTGCCTGTTAGGTTTAGAGTGAAGCAGCCCCCACCCAGCACAGGACTGAAAGTGACTTACAAACCTGGGCCTGTAAGTCCTGTGTGTTTCATGTTGTGTCTGTGTCTGTGTGTACACATATGTACATGTATAAATTTCAGTTTAAAGCATTTTGCATTGTTGTGTGCCATAAAGTCAATTCTGACTCATAGCAACCTTATAGGACAGAGTAGAACTGTCCCAAATGGTTTCCTAGGCTGTAATCTTTACGGGAGCAGATCAACAGGTGTTTTCTCCTACAGAGCGGCTGGTGGGTTTGAACTGTCGATCTTTTAGTTAGCAGCTGAGCACTTAACCCTTGCGCCACCAGGGCTCCTTAAAGCATGTGGAAGTATAATTTTTATGGTAGCATAAATAAAAGATTTCTAATCTTGATATCTGATATCCAGAATTGATGCAATGGATGGCTCATTTCATATAATATTCAGGTAATAATCATGAGACAGATCTTATGTGTTAATAGAGTTGGAACTTTCAGATATGGAAACATTTCTGAAGTTCACCTCAATTATCATGATAGTAGTGTTCCTATACAGTTGTGTGAAAACTTCCTTTTTAAAACTGGAATGTGATTTAACATGCATTTGAAAAGATGATTACTTAAAGGTATCCTGTAAATAAATCCTTCTGCAAAATAAAAAATCCTTTTGAAAAACAAATCATTATTCCACTCTTTTTATTTTATGTAAATCTGGTTTTCTCTCTGGGAATTTTCTAGAGACTATTGTTTAATGCCATACTAAGAAATAATAGTAAAATTATTAAATTTATAAGCTGCCTCATCTCTCCAAAAATCTCTGAAGACACAAGTAAAAATATTTCAACTTGTTCTTTTATTTAATATTTTATTTTATTTAATACATTACCAAAAATAGGATGTTTAGTAAAAAAAAGTATATTAATTATATATTCCCACTTACTTTAAATTATAAGTGCAGAAATAGAACCTGATTAAGCAAAAGTTTGTCTCAAAGTATGATAAAATCACTCATGTAAATCTTAAGATTTATTTTGAGGCATATTCTGTCTTGGAGAGTGCCACATCTGGCTGCATTAATACCTCTTCCATTTCACTCAACAAACTGAGTTCCTCCCATATGCCACTGACAGTGCCAGGGTACAGATGATGTTAAAAATGAGTAAGACAAATAAGGAGTGTCTTAGTCATCTAGTGCTGCTCCAAAAAGTGGATGGCCTTAACAAAGAGAAGTTTATTCTCTCACAGTCCAATAGGCTACAAGTCCAAATTCTGGGTGTCAACTCCAGGGGAATGCTTTCTCCTTCAGCTCTGGAGGAAGGTCTGTGTCTTCAATCTGCCCTTGGTCTGGGAGCATCTCAGCACAGGAACCTCAGGCCCAAAGGACGCGCTCTGTTCCCAGCACTGCTTTCTTGGTGGTGTGAGGTTCCCATGTGTCTCTGCTTGCTTCTATCTTTTATATCTCAAAAGAGATTAGATTAAGACACTATCCAATCTTGTAAACCTCATCAGTATAACCTCATCACAGTGCTAGAATTTACAACACATAAGGAGATCACATATAACCTCATCATAGTGATAGAGTTTAGAATGCATAAGGAAATCACAACAGATTACACAATCATACAATACTAGGAATCATGACCTAGCCAAGTTGACAGATATTTTGGGGGGACACAATTCAATCCATGACAAAGAGCTTACAGTGCTGAGCATGTAGTGGATATTCAAGAGATGGGTATTGAGTAAGAGAATGAAGTGAGGAAGCCTGGTAGATTCATGGACATTCATCACAGATGGTCATATGCTTAGGCTCATGAGATCACAGAAGAAGGGCATAGAGCCCATCAACAGCACACAGTGCTGAGTCTGAAGATCTTAACACAGCCACAGTTGTTATACATTGATGCAGAAGAGATCAGTGTGGTATAGTGGGAAGTTAAGAGGCTTCTTGTCATGACCTTGACACCAAGCAGCTCACTAGTGTTGGTAATTAATTTGTCTTCTGGGCCTTGTTTTCCTCATCTCCAAAAAAAGAGAGCTTTGGACCAGGTCATTTCTTAGCCTCCTTCTAGTCTACTGTCTTCTCTATAAAACAGTAGTATGTAGGCTGAAACGCCAAACAAATATATTTTGGGATTAAATTTACTAATGCATTAGTACCTCTCTGAAGTAATTCATCACTGTACTATGTCAAGATTTCAGCATCCTCACGACATAAAGCATAAAACAAAGCAAGCCCCTCTTCCACTGTTCTGGGCAGTTAGAAAATCTCATTTTAATTTCGAGTAGGGATTAAGCCAAAAGCCAAAATGACTGCTGGATCAATCTCTATAGGTATTAAAAACCCAGCATGTGTTCTTTGAAGCTCACCCTATGCTGTTAGTTTTTTGTTTTGTTTTGTTTTCTTTTCTTTTTGATGGTAGGTTTTGACTCTAGCAAAAATATAGTCTATAGACTTCCCCATAAGTAAATCTAACCACTGTTCAGCCTGGTTAGTTGCCAAGGCTAAATGAATGTGCTCAAAGCCTGAGTAAACCTGTACAATGGCAATATTCCAGCTCCCATAATGCAGAATTTCATCATTACCCAGCCCTGCTCCTATTGTGGGGCTTGGAGGATGAAGGGTCTGATTCTCAGAAACGGAGCTGTTGGATCCCCTCCAGTATACATACATTCACAAGCACATTGTTCAAAAAGTTAAAACATTTTTTGGTTCTCTTATTTATAAAACTATTATTGAAGGAAAAAAAAAACCATTCCTATCTAATTGCTTTCCATGTGGTAGTTTCTGATTTATTTTTTCCAGATAACTCTCCCCAAGTCTGCTTTTTAACACGTCTCCTTAGAAACATAAACAACTTAGAAAGGCTTGGAAACATAAACAACCCTTTCTTTCCAGGCTAGTGTTCATTTCATTGAACAAGGCAAGAAGCCCATGACTTACTGGGTTTCTTCTATATTATAGATCAGATTTCTCCTTTGTTGGTACAGCCCTCTTCCATGCAGTTTGGCATTTAAACTAATTCTGTGTCCGTCTACTTGCTTTATCACTTTAAAGTCCTGTATGAGGAACACTATCAGCTGAGGGGCAGGATGAGGATATTATGGGGATTCACACAGTCTCTCAGGTTAAATTTATCTTTATCTTAGATTAAATTTACTTTATCTGCAAGGATGCCAACAGAAATTTATTACTACATTAAGAAAATAGCACAATTACAGGTATTGCAAAAGTTTGCCTTCATTGCCATTTCCAACACCTTGACATTTAGTTTCCTTACCCTTTTTTCTAAATAGTTCCTGGTTTGCCGCTTCAACAATTTATCCTAGGTCCCATTCACTTAATCTAATTCTACCTAACTAATTTATGGAGTGATTCTCCATGGCGCTTAGCTTTTCCCTTGAGTTCTTTCTTCTACCACTTGAGTCATCCTTCATTTTCCCTAAAAGATAGTCCATGTTTTCAGCTGTGTAGTTTTTGTAGCTTGCTTCCTGCCAGTAGAATTTGGGGTCCAAAGGCCTCTTTTCATTTTGTATTATTGTGGTTCCCCTTCAATACAAGCTGGTGGTATTTCTGCCAATATAATTATTTAAAATTTTTTTTTTTTGTGAGTCTCCTATAAATCCTATTGAGGTTCACTCCATTGGACAAAAACCACACCAACAAGTCTACTTTGGTGTCTGCTGAGACTGATGAAGGACGTCATCCTTAAGCTTTGTAGAAACTCTATTGTTTGGGCGGTTCTCTGAGGCACCATCTTCAGTCTCTCTGAGGTCTTAACATTGGATTTTATAGCCACAACCTCAGATTCATCTTTAGACCATGTTTTTCTGGAAGTGCCCTGGGTTTAACCTTTGCCTGGAAGACATTTGTTAATTTTAGCATCAATTGCTGTCTGGAGCAGTTGAAAATTTTCAAAACCAGCAAGTCCTGGCTCCTTTTTGTTTAACATTTCTTACTTTAGCTTAAGTCTCTCTCCTTATATTTTAGTATAAGCTGTAAGAAGAAACCAGGATGCATCTTCAACACTATGCCTAGAAATATATTCAGCTGGATCACCCAGTTCATTAGACATATTTTCTATTTTATACATTACTGCACACAACAGTATTGTTAAATGTCTGCTACTATGCAATAAGTTTCTCCTTTCTTTTCTTTTCCAGAAGGATTTTCTCCAATAAGCATATCAATAAGAGCCCTCCTCAAAAGCCACTATGCTTCTATGAAGTTTCTTCAAGGATCCTAAAGCTTTCACTAACATCCTCCTCCAAGGTCTTTCAGCTTCCACCCACTGCCCAGTTCCGTTTTAGGTTTCTTTTTTTTTTTTTTTGAGCAACACTGCTTTCCAAGTATCAAAATCTATATTAGTTATCTATTGCTGAGTGACAAATTCCCTAAAACTGAGTAGCCTTTAACAACAAATATCTATTATCTCACTGTTTCTGTAGGGCATGAGTTTGGGAGTGGCTTAGCTGGATGAGACTGGCTCAAGTTCTTGTAGTCAAGACATCCGCCTGGGCTGTAGTCATCTGAAGGTTTGGTGTGTCTACATCCAAGCTGGCTCACTCACATAGCTTTGTCAGAAGGCCTCAATTGCTGGTTGACTATGGAGGAGGCCTCAGTTCCTTACTATGTGGACCTCTTCACAGTGCTACTTCAGTGTCCTCATGAGATTGGCAGCTGACTTCCCTCAAAGCAAGTGATAAGAGAAGAGAAAAAGAACATGGAGGAAGCACGTGAATTTTATGTCCTATAAAAGTTATTAATCATCACTTCTGCATTTTCTTTTTCTTAGAAATGAGTCACTAAGTGTAGCCCATTCTCAAGGGGAGGGGTGTTAAGTTTCACTTCTTGAAGGGAGGAATACAAAAAGAAATTTGTAGACATATTTTAAAACCACCACAATATCCATCTGGAGTCAAATCTTTTGGAAGCTCCCTATCATTGTTCCTATCTGTTATGGATTGAATTGTGTCCCGCAAAAATGTGCATCAATTTGGCTAGGCCGTGATTCCCAGTATTGTGTGATTGTCCACCATTTTGTCATCTGATGTGATTTTCCTGTGTTGTAAATCGTAACCTCTATGATGTTAATGAGGCAGGATTCAAGGCAGTTATGTTAATGAGGAAGGACTCAATCTACAGAATTAGGTTGTATCTTGAGTTAATCTCTTTTGAGATATAAAAGAGAGAAGCAAGCAGAGAGACAGTGGGATCTCATACCACCAAGACACAGGAGCCAGGAGTGAGCGGGTCCTTTTTACCTGGGGTCTCTCTGCTGAGAAGCTCCTAGACCAAGATAAGATTGATGACAAGGACCTTCCCTGAGAGCCGTCAGAGAGAGAGAGCCTTCCGCTGGAGCTTGCACTCTGAATTTAGACTTCTAGCCTCCTAGACTGTGAGAGAATACATTTTTCTTTGTTAAAGCCATCCATTTGTGGTATTTCTGTTACAGCAGCACTAGATAACTAAGACACTATCCCCATTCCGTGCCCCCCAAGCTCAAGCTAAGTTAAGACCTCTCTGCTGTGTTCCCACAGCAACCTGTAGATGCCCTTTCAGGGTACTTACTACTAGAGGAGCCCTTATATTTTCATGTCTGTCTCTTCCATTAGTCATTGAATTCCTTGATGGCAAAGACTGTGCCTCATTTATTTTTCTATCCACAGTGCCTTGCCAATTCCTGGCACATATTAGACCAAGTCAAAAGCCAAAGCAGGGAGGATGGAGAAAAGTAACAGATACGTTTATTTCAATAAAGAACATTTTCTATCACTATTACTTTGACTTTTGACCCAGACTTTATTATCTTTCACTTGCCATAAAATAGATCCTTAACATGGCTAGAAAAATTTCTCAGTCCACTATTATTTTGACAGTGCCTTCTCAGCAACAACATTAAGTCGTAATTTCTTGTCTCAGCATTCCCAGCTGTTTCACTTTCATTGATTCGAATTAGTAAGCATTCAAATATTTGTTTAATGGTTGAGTTCCATAAAAGTTGCATTTATCTACAACATGTGAAATATATAACTAGATTTGCTTAGTGTTTTCTTTGCCTTATATTTACAATAGCACTTCCCAAAATGTGCTCCTCAAAACACTGTTCTTCCGAGATGCATATCTGCATATTTACACTTAATTCTTTTTTCAGGGAAGAGTACCACACTGTTACTATTTGATAAGGCACCAAGTTTAGCACCACATAAAAATAAATTAATACAGTTTCGTTTGTTTTCTTTTGGGATTTTTTGGTGTTGTTGTTTTAATGTAGTGAATCTGAGGAGAAAGGACAAAGTCAAGGACTTGGCAACAGGACCCAACAATTGTGTTCCTGATCTAGATAGCTAATAATTGTTCTTTGATGTCTGCATATACTGTCATCTCATTGCCCCTGTTTTATTTTAAAACAACAATAAAAATAAACACTTCATCACTTCTTGAGCACCAACAACATGTCAGGCACCTTGCTAGGCACTAGAAGCTGGGTAACATTAAGAACATTGGTTCTTTGGCTGTGGTGTAGATTGGGGGTGGGAGTCCCTAACACCTGGTTGTAAATACCTGGCTGCTGTAGGGTTGACCTGTTGGGGCCCTGGTGGCACAATGATTAAGAGCTCAGGCTGCTAACCAAAAGGTCAGCAGTTTGAATCCAGCAGCTGCTCCTTGGAAACCTTATTGGACAATTCTACTCTGTCCTATAGGGTCACTATGAGTCAGGATCGACTTGACAGCAATGGGTTTACAGGTAGGGTTGACCTAAAACAGCGTTTCCCAGTGTGAGTTCTAATATTTCCATGGACTCTTAATGGGTGAGTTATATAGGGTTTTGTTTTGTTTTACTGCAGGACTTCTCAAGGCCTTTGATGTACGTTACTATTCTCCAAGCATATATGATACACAAGAATATTATATCAGTATTCATTTCTTTATTCAGAACTTTCCAACAATTATTTATCAAGCATTTACTCTTTCCAGGCATAGTACTAGGCCTAGTTGCTGGGGATACCAAAGGGAACAAGACAGAGAAGGTCCTTGCCCTTGTGGAGCTTACATTCTAGTGGGAGGAATTAGAAGCCAACCCAGAAAAGACCTGGAGGGAAATATTCCAGGCAGGGGGAAGAGCAAGTATAACAAGGCCTCGAGGTGTGGGATGAGGCATGGGGAGACTTGGTTTGTTAGAAGAACAGAAAGGTCAGTATAGCTGGAGCATGGTAAGCAAGGACGAGAGAGGTATGATATGTAGTCAGATAAGTATGAAGGAGTAAGATCATGGAGTGTCCTTTAGAGACCATTGCAAGACTTCAAATTTTATTCTAAATGTAGTACTTTTAAGTAGAAGTGGTAAGATGCTTGAATTTATATTTTTAAAGATATTCATATGTCTGCTGTGTGAAGAATGAATTATAAGGGAGAAGATTGTCTCAGTTAGGTTTTTGCAAAGATCCAGGTGGGAGATGATGGTGGCTTGGACTACAGTGAGACTGGAGATAGTAGACACGTTTTGGAAGTTGAACCAGAAAGACTTGCTAATACATTGGGTAGGGGGAGAGGAAGCTTGATGGTAATAGAAAAATCAGAGATGGTTTGCTCCTGGGATTTTTGATTGAACAATTGAATGAATAGTGGTGCAAATCGTGGAGATGTGGAGGGAAGGTCTGGGGAGGATCAAGGTGTGCGGGTGGTGGAGGAGGTAAGTTTTGTGTTCAATAATGTTGAAAATACTGTTCCATAGCCATGTGGAGAGGTTGAGAAAGTAACTGGTTATTTATGTCTGCTGCTCAGGGGAAATGTGGGGGAAAGGGAAGTGTCACAATCTACTGTTCCCTGTCGGCTGTACTTTGGATATGCTATTTGAAATCTTGTAGAGATTCCACTTTTCTTTCTGAGTACTTGGGAGAAATCGTTAAACTTAAAACATTTGTTTCTCTGTGTCATCTTATTGGTAGTGTTCTATTACCACTATTAAATGTACTATTATCAGAAAAAAAGAATTGGCTTAAGGAAAAACATACCTTTATCATCATGTCACCTGTCATTTGTTACAAGGAGAAATCTCAAGAGGATCTGTTTTCATTGAAGAAGATCACTGTATTTTAGCTATTGGAGAACTCTGGTGTGCCAGGATTTGGACCATGGTATATCAGAGGCTTTGAAAAGCAGCACAAATTCGGGACTTTGTCACTATACCCTGCCCCTCCAAAAAAAAAAAAAAAATTTAACAAGCTTTATGTCTTGTGTCTTATAGGTAGCAGCTGGTTTGCAGGCAGAACTAACAGTGGAGTTATTTGCCATGGCTGTTGGAGAGGACGGTGCCAAGGGATCAGCACACATCTCTCACAGTATTGAGATTATGACTGAGCATGATGTTCTCTTCTTACCTGTGGAAGCAAATATCCTTTAAAGTTCAATTTAAGTAATCATATACAGGACAAGTATTATATTTGTACCAGGGAAACATGGAGAGTCAAATGCTATTTTCTAATTCCCTTAATTCTTTTTTAAGACCATAGAGGTAAATGTTTTAGGGCAAAGACTGTGTCTTCATCTTTGCAAGCACTTGTATATATATGTGTGTGTGTACATATATATAAGCATATACACACATACATATTGTTATGGATTGAATTATGTCCCCCAAAAATATGTGTTGTAAATCCTAACCTCTATGTCTGTGGTTATAATCCCATTTGGAAATGGGTTGTCTCTGTTATGTTAATGAGGCAGGATTAGTGTAGGGTATATCTTGAGTCAATCTCTTTTGAGATATAAAAGAGATTAAACTAGGAAGCAGAGATGGGGAAAAAGAGATGCCAAGCCTCATGAAGATCTCCCAGGAGCAGAAGCTCAAAGAGGCAAGGACATTCCCCCAGAGCCAACAGAGAGAGAAAGCCTTCCCCTAGAGTCGGCACTCTGAATTCAGACTTCTAGCCTCCTAAACTGTGAGAAAATTAATTTCCATTTGTTAAAACCACCCACTTGTGGTATTTCTGTTATAACAGCACTAGATAACTAAACACATATATATGTATATGCAAATATATTTGATATTTGAGCTGGGTCATAAAGATTGCAAAAACTTTTGATGAAAGGACAGTTTAAGAGAAGAATGAATAAAACTATGGCAATAGGAGCATTCGGGGTGTGTGAGAGGATTAGCGGTAGCTTTGATTTGCTGAGAGCGTAGGTATTATTAGGAAGTAGTGGGGAAGTTGGTTGGAGTCAAGTTGCGGAAGTTCTTCAACCCTTGGCTTAGACTTTATTATTTAAGCAATGGTAAATCATTGAAGATTTCTGATCCAGTCAGTTGTATGGTCAGTATATCTTTATAAGAATGAATTCAGTGTTATTTCTCAGGATATACTGAAGGAGAAGAGCAACTAAAATATAAAGAATCATTCTATTTCAATATGCTAAGTTTAAGTACAAGAAAAACTATAGGGTGAAACAGTAGACATGGAAAAGGGACATAGACGAAAGACATTTGGAACTAAAAATGTAAAATCTGAAGTAGAACCTATTGATGGAAGGAAGTAAGACACAGAGTACAACTCCAAGGTTTTGAGCTCCGGTAAAGAAACACAGATGTGAAGATTAAGATCGTGTGTCAACTTGGCTGGGCCATGATTCTCAGTGGTTTGGCAGTTATATAATGATGTAATTTGGCAGTTGTGTAATGATGTAGTCATCCTCCATAATGTGATCTGATGTGATCAGCCAATCAGTTGTAAAGGGTGTTTCTTTAGGGGTGTGGCCTGCCTCCCGTATATGGACATTCAGGCAAAGCTCGTTTGCTTGCTCTGGGTCCTGTATCCGGCCCGTCATCATCTGACCTCCGGTACTTGAGACTCAAGCCAGCTGCCTGCTGTATTACCTGCCAGTATTGAGATTCATTGGTCTCCACATCCTGTGAGCCAGCAGCCTGCCGTCTTACCTGCTGCTCTTGGATTCACTAGCCTCCACAGCCTGTGAACCAGCGGCTTACCATCTGACCTGTCAATCTTGAATTCATCAGTCTCTGTGGCCCGTGAGCCAGTGGCTTGCCATCTGACCTGCTGATCTTGGATTCATGCACCTCCACTGCCTATGAGCCAGCAGCCTGCCATCTGCTGTGCCAAGCTTGGGTTCGCCAGCCCCTGCAGCTCCAAGAGTCAGGAGACGACTCCAGCCTGATGCCTGACTGATGGACTTGGGACTTGCAAGCCTCTGCAACCACCTGTGCCATTTCCTTGAGATAAATCCCTCTTTCTCTCTATGTATATACATATATGTATAGATACACTTCACTGGTTTTGCTTCCCTAGAAAATCCATCATTAAGACAAGAGATATGCAGGACTGGATCTCAGTTGACAAGTCAGAACTAGAGAAAAATAATTTTTTTTTTAAATATTTTATTGTACTTCAGGTGAAGGCTTACAGAACAAACACTTTATCATGAAACAGTAGTACACATGTTGTTTTA